TAATCGATTTATTTTATTTTCAAAATCGATATTTTATTGTCTATGATGGCCGCAGGAACATCACTATACATGGACTCCCAGCAATAAAGTACGGTAATGCCTCGTACAGATTTTATCGGCAAAAATAATGGAACTTGATAGGTTTTAGACCATGCCACGCACCAAAACGTCCGGAAGTTGTAATAGTATTATAGAATAAACGTTAAAAGACTTATTTATTTAATTTTTCAATGCTTAAGTGTCCATTAGAATGAAAGGGTGCTTAATGTATTAAAAAAAATAGAAAATAATTATGATGGGTTAATGTTTTGGGGCGGTTTTTTAGGCGGTTTTTGACAATGTCCTTTTATCTCTGACATATCGCTAAATAAAGTTACAAAAATGGATATTCATAACTCAAACTATACTCTAAAATTTTGATAAGATCAGTCGTCCGACAAGCAACCCTAATCTATAATATGAGAATACACTTAAGCACTTGTATGTAATGTAACATTCTTAGGAATACCGTTAAAATGTATGACGTTTGAGTCGTAAAAAAAGAAAAGTATTTAATCGATGAAAGTACAAAATAAAATAACAACTTCAACTAAACGTGACAGGATAACATGTGAACATATCAAAGAGCGGCTCGTTGTTCTGTTACAAGTAAATTCTCCAGTTTAACTCACCATAAGACATGCCTATCAACGCCCAGACGTCAAATAAAATTACAAAAAACAGTAAGAAACTAGCTTTCCGTCCGCGGCTTCGCCCGCATGGAATTGTGTCTGTCACAGAAAACCTTTATAGCGCGCGTCCCTGTTTCAAAAACCGGGATAAAAACTATTCTATGTCCTTTCCCGGGACTCAAACTATTTCTATGCCAAATTTCATCAAAATCGGTTCAGTGGTTTAGGCGTGAAACAGAGACAGACAGACAGAGTTACTTTCGCATTTATAATATTAGTATAGATTCAAAATGTATATCAAAACAATCCTCCCTCCACATTTATATTCCCAAAAGCTCAAAATATCTTGCTGACTCGAGTTCCTTTTGTTATCTATATATATAAAAATGAAACCCGTTTCGCGTTGTCACGGCATCACGTGTGAACGGCTGAACCGATTTCGATAATTCTTTTTTTTAAATGTTTGTGGAAGTCCAAGGATGGTTCTTACGGAAAAAAATATTAAGAAAATCTCTACGCTAAGGCGGTACGAAGTTCGCCGGGTCAGCTAGTCTACAATAAAAATGAAACCCGTTTCGCGTTGTCACGGCATCACGTGTGAACGGCTGAACCGATTTCGATAATTCTTTTTTTAAAATGTTTGTGGAAGTCCAAGGATGGTTCTTACGGAAAAAAATATTAAGAAAATCTCTACGCTAAGGCGGTACGAAGTTCGCCGGGTCAGCTAGTGTACAATAATAAGGAACGAGAGCCAAAACTTGGTCAACGAACACTGGCGAAGGCTTCGCAATAGTTGTAAGAGTGCCCCAGGGAGGGGAGTTGTCGCCGCTCTTATATCTAGTTGAATTCTTAAAACATTTTGCTGTGACAATGGGAAATATTAAATAGACTCCTAAAGTGGGACTAGCTTCACTGCGAATAGCTTCTGTTACTTTTAAGATGGTATCCCATATTATTTTCTTTTCTCTGTTATTGATTTCTTTTGATTGTCTTTCTCTCTATCTACCTTCATACATGAACAGAGACAGCATGTCAACCTAAATTTCGACATCCTAGCACTTGTGTAGTTATAATTTATAATCCTAAAAATGTATCGCAAAATGTGTTGGTAAGCGCATAACTCTACAACGACTGGATCATTTTTACCAATACTTATTTTAATGTTCGTTGAATTCCAAGGATGGTTTTTACGGCGAGAAAAATTCGAATAATTTTAGGGAAAACCCTAAAAACAGCTCTTTTTTCACGCGGGCGAAGCCGCGGGCGGAAAGCTAGTACGTGATATTTTGTAACAAAATATTGAGTCTCACTGATGTGCTGTTGATTCTTCCTAATGTAGGCAGATAAAAAACATACAACATCTAATAACAGCAATACGAAATTTTCTGCGAAAGTTCTACACGTTTTGATATTGGAAAATGGATTAGGAGCTTCTGAAGATATTGCTACATATGGGAATATAAATAATTGTGATATCAAATCAAAGGGATAAGTTATAAAATCTTCAAATCACTATTATGGTCCACATTCAACCAGCATTTTAGGTGCCGTCCGATGCTAGCATGCTGGTATACGTCTTGAAGTATACATTATTTTGTACTCTGCATCTGAAACTTGCAACGAGTACAAGCTGCAGGATTTAGATGTGGGCGAGCTTTCAAATAGTTATGGGTGTACCGCAGGGAGCGAAGTTTGGACCGAGTTTCTATTTTCTTTTGAGATGGTTTTTGTTATATTTCAAGTCCTGTTTTTTCTTCAGTGACAACAACCTATACACAATCTTATGACGCCATCTTTTTCATTATATTATTGATATCAATTATTTTATTTATTTTAGAAAAACTAGATTTTTAGGAGACAAATGAGATTTACTAAAAACAAAATCTATTCTAGACTTAGCATTTCGTTTGTATGAAAATTATAAGTAAATAATTAATTTTTAGAGCTCACTCACGTTAGTATTCTACCTACTTAATGTATTTTAACTTTGCTACTTATGTACGCAAATAATTAAATTAAAAACTTTTTTGCACTTTAAAGAAAACATTTAAAGAATAATGTACTGATTTCCTTGTAAATTGAT